GCATCCTGCCTTCAATCTTACCTTTCTTCCATTCTTCCACCTGCCGCTGGAGTGACCTTCCCAAATTGCAAATCTGATCACATTTACCAGCCTAAAAATCAAACGGCAACCCGCCTCCCTGAGCCAGCAGCCAAGCTTCAAGATAAACTCTAAACTCCACACCAGGGCCATGAAGTTCTTGGCTCCTCACTACGGATGTGCCCCTGCCCTGCCCGCTCCGACCTCCTACCCCACCACAAGCCTCATCCCTCACCCCACCATCCTGGCTCCCATCTGTCCCTTGCCAGGTCCTGGCTCACTGACACCCCGTGTCCCCATGCTTGCCTGCTACCTTTCTGTCTCCCCGTCTATACTGCAAGTTCCGTGATAGTGCCTTTCGTCTCTGAATCAATAGCACTAACGTGGTGCCTGATGCACAGTGTGTGTTCAATATTTACGAGGTGAATCGGTTCACATCCTTAACACCAAATAGTCCAGGTGGCTGCAGTCCCCCGAGCCAGTGGGCCTGCACTTGACCGCCTCCACGTGTAGGCACACGTGTGTCTACTGGAAATGCCTGCCTGTTGGCCTCTCTTTACTCAGACGAACGTCTCTGCTCCATCCATTAGGGGCTGTTCTTCTAGAATTGTTGTGGGTGTTAGGAGCCCTGTGTCCTTCCTCGGCTAATCATTTTGTGACTGCAGCAGCCTGCATTTTTCTGCTCTGTGTATACAGAGAAGGGTTGGTGGGGGCGGTGGACCTGTGAGTTCCGAGGTCTGTTGCAGAGAGGAGAGTTCCAGGCCTCTAGAAAATTTGTGTTGAAACTTGTGTCTCCACCGTGGGCTAATGGAGGCGAGAAGGTGCTCCCTGGGAGACTGCAACTAGAGGCCCGGGCTGGCACGAAATGCGCTGGCCCAGGTGGGTAGGGCACTCAGAGCCACCTGCTTTGTGAGGAGAAGAAATAGGGCCTGGGCCAAGCCTGATTGGAAACTCGAGGGACAGCGGGACAGAACGAGGCAGCCTTTTGTTCCCTCCCTGTAATGCAATGCACATTCCCCACTTAAAGGCAATTTCTGCACTTCAAAAGGATTCCAGCTGGCGAAATTTAAGGTGGAGAATAAGCCCCCAGTCAAGAAGCTTCTCAGGGGCCTTTCAGTTTTCCTTGGCTTGAGAACAGGATGCATTTTTAAATGTTTGCCTCTTCATGTTTGTCAGAGCGCCAGGGGAGAAACGCTTCCTCTTACTTCCACACCTCTCTCGCTCAGTCATAGCTGGCACGGGAGCCAGCCACGTTTTCCTGTGCTACTTTGCCTTCTCATGAACCTGCCTGACTTCCTCTCTTTCTCTGCCTGCTTCCCCACCCACCCCCCAGCTCACACCTCACCCCCTGGGGGAGGAGAGAGTCCTGCCGTCCAGGGTCCACTAGGCTTAGCAGCTTTCCTCCAACAGATGCTGAAAGGGCCAACAGTTAGGCTGACACACCTCATAGCTGACACTCCAGGACATGCTCTCTCACCTGCCATTCATTCATTCATTCATGCATTCATTCATGCATGCATGCATGCATGCATTCACCTGTTCACTCTCTCACCTAGTCACCCAGTCAGCCAGCATAGGATCTGAGGTGCTGGGGGGCCCGCGGGTGACTCAAAATCAACACACAGTCTTTCTCTCCTAGCTTACAAAGTGCTTGAAGCTTTGAGAGATAGGAATGAGCAACTACAGCACAAGACAGAGGAAAGTCAAAACCCAGTTTAGAGGGTAGGGACATTTTAAAAGCACAGAGAAAGAAGAGATCAGCCAGGGATGTAGGTGGAGCCCAGAGGGAGGCAGTCAGGGAAGGCTTCCTAGAGGAGGAAGCATTGTGACGGGAGCAGGGTCCAAAGATGCCAAGGATGGGGAAGTGGCCAATGCCAGAATATAGAGGTAGGAAGCTCTCTGGTGGGCACAGAGGCGCAGCTACACCCCTCTTTCCAGGGCTTTGGAGTTTGCTGGGAGGTGGGGGTGGGGGTTCCCAGTCATGTCCACTGGCAGTTGCCGCTTTGGTGGCATTGCTTCAGTCACCTTGGAAGCAGCGCACCATCCCCACATAGCAGTCACCAACTCGTGCCCTTCTCAGTCAGGCCCAGAGGAAATACCTCCATGCTCTTCTCTGTCCTAAACGCTCAGGCTCCCCGCACCCTTTTCTTGAGGGATCCAGATAGCACTTGCTCCTCCAGCCTCACCAGTCATGCCCTATCCCTTAAGCGAAGCTCCAACTACCACCTTCCCTAACAAGGACTATCCTTCCTGCCCACCCTCTTCCATTCTAACTGGGGAAAGCTTCCCTTTGGCCAGCCCACCCCTGCCTGTGCCAGCACCTCCTGGTGTCTCCCTTGGAGCCCCTGCCAGTGGTCCGCTGGCCACTGTGGAGTTGGGCAGACCTGGCTTTGACCCTGGCTCTGGAACCTTTCAGCTCTGTACTTGGCCAGATTACTCACTTCCATAGGACCTGCCCTGGCATTTCCTACCTAACATCCTTTCACCCTTATCTGATCAATCACACTTTGACTCGCACTCAGGGCAACCATCCTCCTCTGCTCTCAGTCCTCGTAGATTAAGGGGAGCTGTAGAGGGTCACTGCTAGGTTCAGGGATAGGCACGAGACCAAAGCGAGACCAATCCTGTGACTTTTGATGGATGGAAATTCCTATTTCCACTGGGATTGACAAACTGGTCAAACACAAACCTAAGGCTGTTCGGGCCATCTTTGTCACCACAAGGAAAGAGTCTATTTACAAATAAAAACAGCACAGAAAAAAACAGTCAAGAGACAGATTCCTGGTGACACGAGCACCTGGATCCAGCCTTGCCTGAAGTTATCCCTGGAGTTTTCAGTTTTGTGAGTCAATAAGTTTCCCCCGCTTTTTCAGCTTACACCAATTTGAGATGACTTTTTGTCACATGCCACTAACAGTCTTGACAAAAGAAATACTTAACTTGGAGACTTAATAACAGAATTAAATGAAAGGCCCGAGTAGTGCCCAGGAATAAGGTGGCACTCAATGACCACTTTTGGCAACTCTCTCTGAATCTGCCTTCTCATAGGTCTGTTACATTTCCATAAACTATCGTTCCATAGTAGTAGAATACTATGCTTTTCTTCTTCCCACAGCTTCGACCAAATCTTCCTTTGTAAAATCTTCGCCCTCCCTGGCTTTCTTGACCACAGCTCTGTGTCCGTCATAAATCTCTACGTTTCACATCGGTTTTCCCCCCACCCCACCCTTGGGCTGAGACAGAATGGGTTTAACAGTGCAAGACTTCAGGATGTGGCGGGGTGATGTCGTCTTTGTGTTATGTGCTGATAACCCAGGGCGACAAAACCAAATCAAACCAAAGACTTTCCCAACAGGCTTCAAATCCCAGCTCTGAAGGACACTAGGTGCTCAGAAAAGTCTACACTGCCATCTAGTGGATGTCTGCAGCATCATCAGCACGCAGAAGGGAGCCCTTTGGGAGAATCCCCTTGGGATTGTCTCTGGCCGGTGAAAGCATCTGACTGAACCTCACTATATAAGGGACAAACCCCAAGAGACATGAATGGATGGTGAAGCCAGGAGTCCTGTCCCACAGAGTGGCATATACTCCTCTAAGAGACTGGGCTCCTGCCCGGCCTCTGTGGCCCTGTACCTCCCATCCCAGGAGTCACAATCAGCAGCCTTCCTTTCTCTGCTCCTCTTGGCTGTCCACAGGTATGCCCAGTCCAAGGGTTTCCAGGGAGGAGGGCTGATGTTGTGTGCACATGTGTGTGCATGCAAATGTGTGTGTACATGTGTACACATGTACACATGTGTGCTTTATTGCTCGTCTTCCCAAAGGAAAGGGTGTTTGTCATGTTTGCAAAGAAGACAACCTATCAAAGCTTCATGATAGCAGCCTCTTAACAATCTATTTGCTCTCTGATAGTGAAAAATGCTTCAAGGAAGAGAAGAGTCTATCCGCCGCATTGGAGTAACCTGTGTGCTGCCGCCCTCCGGCGCTTATTGTCCTACTGGGCTTAGCTGACTGCATGAGGTCTAACTAAGGCAGCACTGCGGGGAAGGAAAAACCCCTTCTGGCCGCTCTCTGCCACGCTGCTCAGAAGGGACCAGAAGGTCAGCCTTGATGTGTGTATTTGGTCACATCCCAGCCATGACCCTTCCATCTCCACACATTTGTGACCCGAGTCCTGCCTAGATTGGCACCAGCACCTCCTTCTAAAACACAGCAGAAAAGAGGCCAGTCTCCACCCTTGACACTCTGGGAGCTCAGTCTGGCCCAGGAGTCAAGAAATAAAGAAGCGGAGACCAGAAGGCCAGATCAGCTCCCCCAAAACACACTCCGCAGACCCATTTCCCACTTCTGTGACTCTTCCCCAGGCTTCCTAGACCCCGCAAGGAAAGCTTCCAGAATAGTACTAATCACTGCCCACTAAAATAGTTATTTCCAATTCCTAAAATGCTTTGTTCTCCTTTCACACAACTTTGGGCAAAAGAAGAGCGTGTCTCATGTTGCGACAACAAAGCGTCAGGATGCACTGACCTCTGCCTGTCCTGGTAAATACCAGCTTCTCTCCAGCCCAGAAGTCATCTGAAGACCCAGACACCCCGCACCTTGGGAGAGGACTGCTCCCATACCACCCCTTCTTCCACTTAGCTGCCAACTCCAAAGCACACACCAGCTGGTCTCCACCAGGCTCGGGGGCCCAGATCTCAGGGGCAGCCAAGGAGCTCCCAGAGCAGGGGAGCAGGAGGAGGCCTGGGCAAGTGGCCTCAACCATCACCAGTTTCCAGTGTGCAGCCCTCCCACCGGCCCCCAGCCTTCTCCTCAAGTCCACTCTAAGGAAGGCACAACTTTATGTCAACAACCATCTGCTGCCACCAGACCCAACCCAGATGGCTCTGCATGCAGCTTCAAGTAACCCAGATGAGCAAGCCTGCAGGGACATTAAGACCCCCCACTCTCCCCCGCCCTGCTTTAACACAGCCCTGCTCACTCACTTCCACGGCCCCCGGGAACTTGACTATCGGCGCCATCCAGGAGGTGATCTTCTGTCTGTAGTTGTTACAATCAGGAACAATCTTGCAGCCAATGTTCCCCAACTCTGGGTAGAAAACTTCAAGGCCCCTATGAAGAGAAGAGGGAGGTTGCCCTGTGTCAGGGTTTTAGGGGAGCCTGGGGTTCCCAAGGCTTCAGTCTAGCACTATTGGGAATGTAAAGTGAAATGGGATTAAATCCCAAACCTGCCACTAACTAGTTGTGTGGCCCAAGAGTTACTTGACCTCCTTGTGCCTCAGTTTCCTCATCTGTAAACTGAGGATGCTAATAATTCCTCCCTCATGGAGTCAGTGTGAGGAGTAAAATCGAGGTCACTGGTCAGAATAGAATCTCGCATGTTGTAAGTCATCAGAAAGTGTAATATTAATTATCATCAGTGTTTACTTCCCTAAAAGAATAGATATCCTCAGGCAAACTTAGTGTCTTTAAAGTAGGATTGAGTTTATAAAAACAGTACCTATAGATTGCTTTCAGAAACATTCTTATTACAGAAAGAAAGGCTTAGCAAGTCAGCATACCTTCCTTCAAGGGCAAAGACGTTCTCTCTCCCCTAAACAATCAAGAGCTCCCCATGCCTGAAATCCTGCCATTAGGTGAAGAATTGGCTTCTTTGGGTTAAGCATTGACCATAGCCTAGGTTCCATTTCAAAATGCAAACATCCCTCAGGGGGTAAAACATTGGCTCACTAAGAGTGTGAGTATGAATGAACTGGTTCATCTATTTGCTCCCTGAGAAGAAGGGCCCGAACAGCACCGGCGTTCTGAGAATGTGGCTTCCTGGAAGGGAAGAAAATATGATGCAGAGCAAAGTGACAGAGTCTGCAGGGCAGGGCACGGCGGGCCGGGCCATGACTGCACCAGGCTGGCCTTCAGTGCATGCTTGTATTTGAAACTCAGAAATGCAGGTAAGATTTTTCAAAGACATTTTTAAAAACTGTTTTTGCTTGCCCTTCTATTACATTTTATCTCCACAACCCAAGGCCTCTGTAGGGTTAATGTGGGTTAAGGCATCACTGAGAGAGAAGGGGTGTGGGTATGGAGTGGGTGTTGCAGGTCCCCAGCCTTTCCTAACAGCCTTGCATGGCTAAGCCTGCCAGTAGCCACCCACAGCTGTCCACAGTGCCTTGCTGCAGGTGATGCCTCAGGGGACCCTGTGAGGATGTAATTTGGAGAACAGTTCTGGAGGGAGAGCTCCCTGAAGCTGGGGCCTGGGAGTAGGCCAAGAGCAGCTTCCTGGTGGGTAGCCCTGCATTCCCCCTCCCGCCTTCCACCTCCTACTCTTTCAGTGGCTCCTGAATTCCAGCCTTAGGCAAAAGGCCGCTGAGCCCCCAGCACCTGGCAGCCGCGGACCAGGACACTTCGGCGGGCCAGCACCCCCAATACCAGAAGTCAGGTACTCTGGTCTCAGAGGGTGGAAGCAGGACGAGTCAAGGTCTTGCTGAGCAAATCTGTGTCTTCTAACTCTTTGCACACTTACAGCAATTCTAGGTGGATGGCAAGATTTTCACAGCTTTTGGGGAAGTTTTAGGGGACCAGTTTTATCTTCCTAGCATCATCTTAAGGACCATTTGGTTTGTTTCTGCTGCAACTCCTTGCTGCTGCAGCTAGCGAGATGCGACGCAGAGAGGGGACCCTCCAAGGGCAGAGAGACAGACAGCAAGCAGCACAGCAAGGGAAAACGAGAGGCAGGGAGGAGGGAAACTGAGGGTGGAGGGACGCCCTCATGCCCACAACCCCTCTCCCCTTTTTATCAGAGTGGAATTGTTGTAAATATCAAAAGAATCAAAGAAGCAAAATCGGCAAATCGTTATTTGGTGAGGGGGGTGCACAGCCACAGAGTGCCCTGAAGGACAGGGCACATGCCAGCGAACCAGGGATTGGGTCGTGTCCCTGCCCCTCTCTTCACACCCATAGGGCACTGCCAGGCCAGCGTTTGAAGATAGCATGTTGCCCCACCTAGGATGACAGGAAAGAGGCGTGTGCAGGCCTCTGCCCGGCTCAGCTGCTTTAGCAAAGGCTTAGAGAAGGACACAGAGAGAAATCTATTTGATCTGCAGATGGCACAGAGCTGGTGATCAACAATTCTGATTATCAAATCGAGTTACAAGATGATCTGGACAAACCTGAGGTGAGCTGAATCAAAAATTAAAGTTAGTGAGAAAATATACTTTAAAATTTACATTCAAGGCCAGGCACGGTGACTCATGCCCATAATCTCAGCTCTTTGAGAGGCTGGGGTGGGAGCATCGCTTGAGCCCAGGAATTTGAGATCAGCCTAGGCAGCATAGTGAGACCCTGTTTCCACCAAAAATAAAAAAAAAAATAAAAAAAACAAGCAGGGTGGTGCATGCCTATAGTCCCTGTTACTTGGGAGGCTGAAGTGGAAGGATCACTTGAGCCCAGGAAGTAGAGGCTGCAGTGAACCATGACTGCATCACTGCACTCCAGCCTGGGTGACAGGGCAAGACTCTATCTCAAAAACAAACAACTTGCATTAAAGCCAGAAAGCCTCAAAGGTGCCACCTTCCTGTGTGCCCTTGCTGCTTGTGGTTTACCTGGCATGGAATTCATTCTAATTTCCATCCGGAGAGTTTGGGGATCTCCTGATCTCCATGACAAGACTTGGAGGCACCCTGGGGAGTGGAGTGAAAAGATCAGGGGCCCTGGCCTGAGCTTTGCCATGAACTAACGCTACATAAGGGACTGGGGACAAAGGGCATAACTTTTACTGGGCCACCCCAATAGATCAGGGACATCACATATGTAGGATTTAATTTCATGCAACCATATCTTGAGGCAGCTCTTAACACTATTCCCATCTCCAGATGAGTAACTGAGAAACTGCAGGACAACACCTATCTGCAGCTGCTACGTGTTGGAGTGATCTGTTGTGTACAACAGAGAACGAGTACAGTGGGCTTGGCTGCACTTTCTTCCCTGCACCACACATTTTCCCTAGTGAGCTATTTCATTCCTCCAGGCTTCAGTTTGAGCTAGGTGGTCATGTGAGTCTCTGTCATGGCAAGAATTAGATCACAAGGGCTGGTCGTGGTGGCTCAAGCCTGTAATCCCAGCACTTTGGGAGGCTGAGGTGAGATGATCACTTGAGCCCAGGAGTTAGAGACCAGCGTGGGCAATGTAGTGAGATCCTGTCTCTATAAAACATAGAAAAAATTAGCCAAGTGTGGTGGTACGCATCTGTAGTCCCAGCTATATGGGAGGCTGAGGTGGGAGGATTGCTTGAGTCTGGGAGGTCAAGGTTGCAGTGAGCCATGATCCTGCTACTGCATTCCAGCCTAGGTGACAGAGGGTGGCAGAGTGAGACCCTGTCTCTAAAAACATGGCTTCTCAGCTGTGCCTGTATGAAGGGCTTAGAATTTCAGCTGCCCCTCAGTGAGTGCTATTGCCTGAGTGTTGGTGTCTCCTCAAAGTTTATATGCTGGAATTTAATCCTCAGTGTGATGGTATTAACAAGCGGGACCTGGAAGAGGTGATTAAGTCACCCTTATAAAAGGCACTCTCATAAAAGAGGCTGAAGGGAGCTACCCTTCCCTTCCACCAGGTGAAGTCACAGCAAGAAGGTGCCGTCTTTGAAGCAGAGAGCAAGCTCGCACCATGCACTGAATCCAGTAGCACCTTGATTTTGGCGCTTCTCAGCCTCTAGAGTTGTGAGTAATACATTCCTGCTGTTTAGAAATGACCTAGTCTAAGGTATTTTGTTACAGTAGCTGAACAGACTAAGGCAGTGAGAATGACAAAAAGACACATGGGATATGAGGCTGCCTTGAAGAGGGAAACTGTGAAAGCGTGGGTCACCCCACTTGAAAAGCAGCAAGCTAGTTTTTAAACTGTTTTGTAGAGACGGAGTCTCTCTTTGTTGCCCAGACTGGTCTCAAACTCCTAGGCTCAAGTGATCCTCCACCTTGGCCTCCCAAAGTGCTGGGATTACACACGTGAGCCACTGTATCCAGCAGTGCATGCCCCGTAATCCCAGCACTTTGGGAGGCTGAGGCGGCAGGATTGCTTGAGCCCAGGAGTTTGAGACCAGCCTGGACAACATAGGGAGACTCCCAGCTCTACGAAAAATAAGAAACTTAGCCGGGCGTGGTGGCATGCACCTGTAGTCCCAGCTACTCAGGACACTGAGGCAGGAGGATTGCTCGAGCCCAGGTGTTCAAGGCTGCAGTGAGCTATGATCAGGTCACTGCCCTCCAGCCTAAGTGACAGAGCAAGACTCTGTCTCTGAAAGAAATGTATTTAAAGAGAAGAGAAACCAAGGCCCCTGAGAGAGACTGAAGGACTGGGGATGACTGCCCAGGTTGGGGGGAGCTGGGGATGAAGGGGCAGGGCATGGCATCTGTCACCACACACATGAATGACCGCAAAGAAGATGAGAAAATAGACTGTGTGTCACCTCCTGGATCTGCACTGGAAAAGGTGGGTTGATGTTCAAGAAGAGCAACAGGGCCTTGGGATAAGAATGCATGTTCTGAAGAACGGAGCTTTTCAACACCAAAAAGCAGGACGCTTTGAGCAGCAGCTGCCATCCCCAGGGGAGCTCGCAGGGCTGACTGGATGGCAGCAGGAGGGCTTTGTTGAGTGGATTCACCTCCCGGCTGCAGGGCTGGAGGATCACAGTTCTTTCAATTCCGCAACTGAGCCCAGGGTTGGGGCTCTCTGTGGTTTTGCTGGTCTAGTCTGGGGTATCTCAGAAGCAGGGAAGATCCGATTCCCGAGAAGCTTTTCTCTTAACAATGTCTCACTGCTTGTCACAGTACATAAGATTCCTCCCTTATAGATGAATACTTTTAGGCATTGAGTCCAATCTTTAAGAGTTCCCTGGTAGATTCCAAATGCCCACGAGAGGAGTGCCTTCTCTGGGGGATCTCTTGCCAAGGTCAGAGCCTGAGCTGAGTGGGGATCTTGAGGTGGGCGTCAGTGCAGGAGGTCCTGCTGTCTCCTCAGGGGTCCTATCTGTCCTTGGCGTATTTTCATTTCATCATCACTCATGATGATCTCTTCCAAACAAAAACTTCTATGGCAATAAAGACAAATCTCCTCTTTCAGGATGATGGCTTGAAATCAAAAGACATCTTCCTGGCATGCAACCTTAGGGTCATAAATCTGTTTCTCAAACTGGGGACCTGCTGGCGTATTCCGGGAGTCCTGAGAATGGCTCCCCCTGACTCGAGTTTGGGAGCCCTGGACCCGGGGTGAAGGTCGTCAGCAGAAGCAGATAGGGAAAGAGCATGAGTGTGGAGTCAGACAAGGGCACTAGATCTTGGCTCTGCCACTTTTAAGCTATGTAAACACTGTGGGCAGATTTCTTAATCTCTGGGGACTCTTCATCTGTAAAATGGGGGTGCTAACATAGACTCTGTAGGTTCATCACTGACAGTGAGACAAGTCAAGGAGTCCAAGCACCAGCAGAGAACCTGGGACACAGAAGGTGCCCTGGGACTTCCCATGTGTGCCCCCATGCATGGGTCACCAGGGTACCAAGATGTGACCTTGGCAGGGCAGAGCCTAGGGCACCCAGAGCCTCAGGCTGGTCACCTCCAGCAACCCTACAGACATCCTAATTTCCCACAGTGTGGGAAACACCAGGAACCGCTGAGGTCCTCCTTAAGGGGCCATTATCACAGCCCAGGCCTGCTGTACCCTGGCCCAGCTGACCTCTCCTGCTTATGAGGGCGTTGACCTTGCACTGCTCAGAGCGAGAAGCCTGCCAGCCCCTTGGCTCACTCAGCAGAGCACCTAGAAAATTAGATCCCACTTGTGAGAGGCAACCATGTTTCTCTTCCTCCTTCCACATGAAAACTTCACCCAGAACTGTTTGTTTTTTGAGATAGAGTCTTAGTCTGTTGCCCAGGCTAGAGTGCAGTGGCGCAATCTTGGCTCACTGCAACCTCCGCCTCCCAGGTTCAAGGGATTCTTCTGCCTCAGCCTCCTGGGTAGCTGGGATTACAGGCGTGCACCACCATGCCCGGCTAATTTTTTTGTTTTTAGTAGAGATGGGGTTTCACTGTGTCAGTCGGACTGGTCTCAAACTCCTGACCTCGTGATCTGCCTGCCTCAGCCTCTCAAAGTGCTGGGATTACAGGCGTGAGCCACCGTGCCCGGTCTACACCCAGAACTGTTTAACAAGATTTTTCAAAATGTACTGACATGAGCAAAGTTTGTTACTTTTTTTTTTTTTTTTTTTTAGGGTCTTGCTCTGTTGCCCAGGCTGGAATGCAGTGGTGCAATCATGGCTCAGAACAGCCTTGACCTCCTGGGTTTAAGCGATCCTCCCACCTCAAACTCTTGAGTAGCTGGGACTACAGGTGTGCATCACCATGCTTGGCTAGTTTTTAAACTGTTTTGTAGAGACAGAGTCTCTCTATGTTGCCCAGGCTGGTCTCAAACTCCTAGGCTCAAGTGATCCTCCACTTTGGCCTCCCAAAGTGCTGGGATTACACATGTGAGCCACTGAATCCAACCAAAATGTTACTTTTTAAGAAGGATTCAACTACATAACTTTAAGAGAAGACATGTATTTATGGTTCTAAAAGTAATATTTGTCAAAAATGTTTTAAATAAAATAAAAAAGAAAAACAAACATATTTTCATGAACAGTAATGTTTGTGAAAATTCAAAGGTACAGAAGAGAGTGTAATCCCAGCACTTTGGGAGGCCGAGATGGGCGAATCACGAGGTCAGGAGATCGAGACCATCCTGGCCAACACGGTGAAACCCCGTCTCTACTTAAAAAATACAAAAAACTAGCCGGGTTGGCTAGTGGGTTTGCGGCCTGCCCACGCCCAAAGTCCTGCAGGCGTTCCCCGCTTTCCTAAATCATCAGGGTCTTTACTGTGTTCTCAAGCCTACCTCTCACGCTTGGGGGAATGCCTCACTGGCTGTGATGACAGGTGGACCAGAATGGGGGTCCTAATGTAGACAATCAAATGAGCCTCGTTTTCCTGGGGGCCGCGGAAGCAATGCCCAAATTCTCCTACATCTTCCTTTGACCTTGGGTTCATTGCCAGCTTTTCTCCAGGGCTTTGCCTTTTTTACAGGTTGCCAAATGGGACATGTCGCGCCTTTCCGGTCCAGTCTTGACAATTTCTCCTTGAGTGGGTTTTTCCTAAGAGCAGGGCGAGTTTTGTCAGCAGTTCTGAACTGAGAAAGCTTTATCATAGGGAGCCACGGCTTCGGGGGGTCTCTACTTGCAGCGGGCTGTCGGCGCGGCGGGCAGCCAGGGAATTTGAGTGAACCAAGCTGTGTCCTGCCCAGGCGGGGGAAGGGGGGCCTCCTGCCAGGAATGTACCTGTTTGAGTAAGCCCAACTGGACGGCGAGGGCCCCAGGTCCTCCCCAAAGTTACATTGTGTCCGGGTGCTGGAACTGGATTTTACGCCGCGAAGCCCGGAAAAGCTGCCTGCCTTTCCCTGTGCCTTAACCAGAGGTCGTCTCTCCTCTACTTCCTGCCAAGTGGAGCTTGATGGGGGGGGGGGGCGGGGGGGGACATCAGAGTTGCCAGGAAATGGGCCTGTAGGGATCAGCTGCTACTAAAGCTCTCTTCTGTTCCAGGTGCATGGTTGACAATTGAGGCTGGTCACAAAGGCAGCTGTTACTAGGGGTCCTTTGATGGTGATCTACTGGAGCGAGGAACGAGAACAATCCGTGGGGTGCCCAAGACTCTTGACGAGGACGCCCTCGTGTGGCCAGAACTCAGGCAGGCTGAGGCGGAGGCACAGAGGCTTGGCCAGCGCAGTGGATCGCAGAGGAGGGTATTTCACAAAACCTCCCAACCGGAGCAGCCATACTCCTGAGCCCCGATTTTATTGGGGAAGAGCAGGACAACACGTCAGGATCTGTGGGAAAGCAAGCCCTGATTGGAGGATGGCCGCTGCGCGAGAAAGCGGAGCTTAGAAACCAGACGCCCTTCCCTGGCCTTCCAGGAATGCCCTCTCGCCAGTAAAAGTTTCGGACAAAAAAGGGGCCTCCCTAGGACCAGGGTTTGAGGGGCTGTGTATATGGTTGCCTCTGCTTGGGGTCCAAACCTGGGGGGTATTGGCCGGATGGGGGGGCAGAGGGCTGAGGATCAGAGAGGACAGAGAAGAACTATCCTCTAGTAGGCCTGAATCCCCCTCTCTACACGAAACCCGACCGAAGAGCGTTTTATGAAAGGTGCTGGGATTAACTCCCTTCCTGTGGAGAGGTGTTTTTCAACGATGGGCACCCAGGAGTGTTTGTGGCAGGGCCCCTTTAGGATCATGGGCACCGGGGTGGAGTTTGGATGTGAGGTCCTGGGGCTTCTTCCCTTCCAAGGGCACAGGTCTGCTTTTTTACTTTCGGTAGCTGGAAAAGCCTGGCGTTCGGTCTCATCCTACACTGACGATCTGGCCGTCTAGAAAGTCAACCGGCCTTCACTTTATCTGGCTTGTGGGTCATCCTGAGGACTCCCCGGGCAAACATGATGCCCGCGAAACCTCCCTGCAGTTTAGTGACTGAGGAGGGGGACACCCGCTGAGCCCATGTGTGCAGAAATGGGAACACGGAGTGAAAAAGCCACTTTGACTACCTCTACTCCCCTTCTTTTTTTTTTTTTTTTTTTTTGAGATGGAGTCTGGCTCTGTCCAGGCTAAGAGTGCAGTGGCAGGATCGTAAGCTCACTGCAAGCTCCCGCCTCTCGTGGTTCCGCCATTCTCCTGCCTCAGCCTCCAAGTACCTGGGAACTGACAGGCGGCCCGCCCACCTACA